GTGCTTGTGGTGCTGCTGCTGGTTGCTGGCGCGGTGGCGTTGGTGCTGCTTCTTGTTGCTGTGCGGCTGCTGGTCGCAGTCGTGGTGGTGGTGCTTGTGGTGCTGCTGCTGGTTGCTGGCGCGGTGGCGTTGGTACTGCTTCTTGTTGCCGTGGGGCTGCTGGTCGTGGTCGCGGTGGTGCTGCCTGGCCCCCGCGCGCCCGTGCGCGGGGGCTCATGGCTTCAGGGGGGCGCCGACAAGAGGTCGCCGCGCCGCGGTTCTCCCCTGGCAGGTCCTCCAGCAGGCTGGCCGCCAGAGCGTCGTCAATGGCGTGCGCCAGCGTGCCAGTCCACCTGTGCGCGACGCCCCCGCAGGCTGGACCGAGGAATAATGGGGCAGATGGCTCATGCATCAGGTGCAGACACTTGACCATCTGGCAGGCACGGAATACGCGAATGGGCTGGCCGACATCCTTCGGAAGCACCCCCAGGAACTTCCCGCACCCATGATTGCGGCGCTGTGCAAGGCCTCGAGGTTCACTGTGGCCACCGCCCAGAAGCTACATCAGGATGGCCCTACCGACATTCTTCGTCCAGAACTACCAGAAGACATGGAGGTTGAATGGGGGTTCGAAGACATGGGTAGCCCTGAAGATGTGTAACGGCAGCATCGACTGCGACGGAGATTGCGCGGGCGGCGATAAGGGCCCACAATGCCGAATACACACCAGCCACATGGGCGCGCGACGGCTCGCCGGACCAGCGGTCGACGGGGAGATGCTAGTTCCGATTCGGAACCAGACGCTCGAGGATGGCATCGAAAAAGGGGGGTTTACCAACCGTGCCGCTCGGCCGCAAGAACTACTCACAGTTCGACGGAACAGACTGGATAGTGAAGATCAGACATGACCTGTCCCATCACGTTTCTGCCACCAATCTTGCATTTTGGGAGATCTTGGGCGTCTTGCGCGTTGACGTGGACGGCCGTGGGGGCATGTTACGCTGCAATCACTCACATCTCCGACGCAGTGGATCGACGCGTGGATCTCGACCCACGGCGCGGTCATTTCGCGCCAGAGTGCGGGCTAGAATTCTGCCACCACACCCATGATGCAACGGAGGGCGCCTTTGAGGCGATCCGTCGCGGCAGAAACCACGAGAAGGCAGGCAATATTGCTGCGTTGCGCATGGAAAGCTCCCTTTCTGCTACATCGGCACGGGCGGATGGGGTGCAGAGAGAGATCGGGGAATGGTGGAGCTTTGCTTCAGTGCCATGGGCCCCGCCCCGAAGCAGCTTGTCCTGGTACGAGGGGAAGACGCGCCCAGGATTGACCCGGTGAAGCAATTCTGTTGCGTGCACCCTTCGTGCGTAGGTGAGTGGAGACGTCATTGCGTGCGTGGTCCCACCCCAGAGCAGCGTTTTTCGGATTCAGCGCCCCGCAATCGGGACTCGTTGACAGGTTGGATCCGCGACACCTACCACTTGGATGAGGTGACGCTGAACGGGCGTCCAATGAACGACTGCTTCGATCCCATGCAGCGCGCACTGCCACAGTGCATGGGGTGGCTGATCATGGGAACAAGGTCACATGGACAGGCGTGTGGCCCCCGTGCTGCTCCCTGACGATCGCATTGGTCGGGGCCTCTTTGGCCAGACAGAACCTTTCCACAAATGGTTGTAGATTGTCCTCGCGCCTTCGCGTGCAGCATGACTAGGGTGGCAGAACCGCCCTCTATCAAGGTGCTCACCAGCGTGGGGGATGGCTCGGGTTTGCGCAGCCAGAAGCATCATGACGGCTTCTGTGGAAGAGGTAGGGTTCCTGTGGAGACGTACGCTGGGTGCACGCGTGCGCTGAGAAGTCTGATCGTTTAAGCTGTGCGGCGCGTGCTTTCTGGCCATACTGCTCGGGAGTCGGTATGCTACAAGATGTTGTGATGCATGTTTGGCCGGACGCGCGCCTCCAATGAGGAGGGCGCATCGTGCTAGTATGCTCTTGTGCGCCCCAGGGAACGGCGCCCAGCGCAAGGTGAATGCGAAGACAGTATGGCTCGAAAACGCCAGAATTCCACGCGTTGGGAGAATCTAGGTCGTCGGAACCCACAGGTCCGCAAAGAAGGTGGAGAAGGTGGGGTGGGGAGGGATGGAAGAGGAGGGGGAGGAAGCGGAGGAGGAAGAGGAGGAGGCGGAGGAGGAGGAGTGATATGATGATGATGATGATGATGATGATGATGATGATGATGATGATGATGATGATGATGATGATGAGGAGAATGAGTATTCATAACACTAATTCTGAAAACATTTATAATATGCAAAAGAGTAGCAACAAACGGCCAGCAATAACGCACAATAATGCTAATATTAATGGTAAGGGGAATCTCAATCATAACAATCATATCAATATTATGAATACTGCTCTGATTAGTACTCATAAGAGTAATCATACTCATCATCACAGCCATAATCATACTTCGAACATAACTAAGACATCTACTTCCATCATCAATGTTACTAGTACTCGAACGAATACAGTATAGTGTTACTACGAAGAAGAATGCAGCACCATACGAATGCACATGCTGGTGCGACTGATGCTTCGATCATTAGTAGTATCACGAATAGTAATACCATTCGTGATAGTGCTAATACCATATATATATATGTGTGTATATATATATGTTAATATTGTCGTGAAGGCTGTTGCAGTACCCACACTACTACTACAATCACTACTAGTACGAGTCGTACTACTAATGCTGCACCACTCGAAAGAACACGAGTAATCCTATTAAGAAGCTCACGAACCATATTTGTACTACGGGTACGAAAAATTGTACGGACCATACGAATCATGCGAATAACAGCATCCCAGGAAATCCGAGGAACAACACTGGAATACATACTATTTTGCTAAGACTACTATATTATTCTCATTATTATTATTAGCTTTACGCATATTAGTACGAACACGCATGATAATTCAATTGATACGAACACTGAGAGATATACTAGTAATACGGAGGAGCATAATCATGATTAATACGACTAGTAATAATAAAGTGCTACACATACGAAGAAGACGCATTTCAATCCGAATGCTTTTTGTATCAATACTGAGAATACTAATAGCATGATTCATAATGATACTCCGAGATTTCAAATGAACCGTAATGCGGAGAAGAAGAGGGGGATGAGGAGGAGGAGGAGGACGAGGATTAGGAGGGGGAGGAGGAAAAGGAGAGGGAAAAGGAGGAGGAGGAGGTGGAGGAGGAGGAGGAGAGGAGGAGGAGGAGGAGCAGGAGGAGAGGGAGGCGGAGGAGGCGGCGGCGGAGGAGGAGGAGGAGGAGGAGGAGGAGGAGAAGAAGCAGGAGGAGGAGGAGGAGGAGGAAGGGGAGGAGGAGGAAGAGGAGGAACCAGACGAAAAGGAAGAGGAGGAGAAGGAGGAGGAGGAGGAAGAGGAGGAAGAGGAAAGGGGAGAAACAAGAGGACAGATGAGGGGAGGAAAGGAAGAGTATCTCAGAGATCCAGCATGGTCCAGGCAATACAAGTAGCCTGAATCTGTCTTTCCAACTGGCTTCGCTGCAGCAGCGTAACACCGAGCGAGATCCCGACCGAATTCGCTTTGGTTTGAAATCGATTTGCCGTGCAGAGAGATCAAGAAGGGATCGCGAACCCATTGAGAATATGCTGGCCACCCGTCCGTTGCCCAATACAAAAGTGTTGAGAATGCTGAGCGGGATCCAATGAACCGCAAGGCAAGCCTGTCCCGACCCGCGCGATGCAGCCAACGTCATGAGAAAGAGGACCTTGCCTCGATGCCCCCACCCACAGGAGGCATTCAAGAAAGAGCCACGTCTTTGAGGATCGAAGGAGTTGTCGTCTCTGCTTCGGCGGAAGGCGGCGGAACGGCGGCGGAAGACGGCGGCAGCAAAACGAGGCCACCAACCCCAGCGATAGCCTGCGAATGTAATCATCGGCCTCTCAAGAGTTGGCAAGGCTTTTTCAGGGTTTTTTGAAACCGCCACATCTCTCCACCATTGGCAAGGCGGGCGGGTTGCTCGGAGGCGCTGGGAAATCAAGCCAGCAAGTGCAAATGGGCATTTACACACGTGCCAGAGGTGTGTGGACTCAGGTGTAAGGTAGCATGCGCATCCACGTCTACATTCGACGTCAACCGCAATCTCTTGGCCCAAGCGGCACCATTACCTGGCCCGCCCCAGAGCGTGCGCAGCGGCAGTGCTGGTTCTGTCCGCGCGCCGTCGCTGCGGGCCCCATGGTCAGTGCCGCATGGTCGGGTAAGATGCTGGACCGAACTACGAGCAGCCCCCTCAGCATATCGAGCCTGGCCACCACAGCCTGCACCATGAGTTCCGACAGGTGCTCGGAGGCGTCGGACAGCGCGGAGGACGCTCCTGGACTGCGATCCCGCGCCATCAAGAAGCCGGGCGACGCGGCGTGGGTGCACCCGGCCAAGAGCACGGCAGAGCCCCAGACCGAGCGCCCCGGCCTCGACGGCTCCCACAGAGGCGGGCCCACCGCAGCTCGCCCAGTTTCACCCGGGCCTTCGGAGCTCCGGCCAGAGCTGGCCGCCGCGCCGTGGCGATGCAAGCGCGCCTGGCCGGCGCAGGAGTGGCCGAGCGCGGGCAGCTTCGAGGAGTTCTTGGCCACAGTGCCGACGCTTCGGGAGGGCGAGCTCCTGTCCCGCACCTTCATGGCTCCGGCCGCACCCGCAGGTGTATCAGAGCCCGAGGGGGCTGAAGGCGACGTCCAAAGTGCTGCCAACCGTGCCAGCACCGCCTCGGGCACGTCGCTCGCTTCTCCGAGGCGAGGGGAGCAGTGCGCCGCCGACGCAGCGAATGAAGCCGCGCCGCCGCACCTGCCACTGGTGCCGGAGCAGCAGGGCAACGCCCGCGCGAAGACGAGCCTGAAGACGAGGCTGAACGGCCAAGCTGCCCCCTTCAGCCCTCCTGCTGCAGCGGGGCTGAACGGCCAAGCTGCTCCGTTCGGCCCTGCTGCGGCAGCTGCGGACGGCAGCGCGTGGCTGCCGCCAGTGGCACAGCCCGAGCCCAAGGCCTCACAGAGTCCCGCTGGGGAGCTCGGCACGGCACCCACTTCCTGGGCGGCGCATCAGCGCGCCCGACGCAGCAGCTGGCTTGTGACCCAGGAGCAGGTTGACGTGGAGGTGGGGCGCGCCTTGAAGTGTCTCCTCAACAAGCTGACACTGGAGAAGTTCACCGAGCTGTCGCAACAGATTATAGCCGTGGGCATGTCTACGACGACGCACGTGGAGATGCTGATCAAGGAGGTTTTCGAAAAGGCAACGTCGCAGCATCACTATATCGACATGTATGCAGACCTCTGCGTCCTCCTGAGCGAGTACTTTGCCCTGAACCCGGTCGGGAACGATCCCAAGTTCAGCTTCAAGCGACTGCTCTTGCACGAGTGCCAGGGCAGCTTCGAGCGGAACCTCAAGGCACCCGACCTCAGTGGGCTGGACGACCCGGAGGAGCGCCAGCTGCGCGAGTTCCGCCACAAGCGGCGCGTGCTGGGCAACATAAAGCTCATCGGGGCCCTGCTGGTGCGCAAGATGCTCGCTGGCAAGGTCTTCCTGGCCATCCTCGCGGAGTTCGTGGGGACGCCCACCTCCGAGGCGATGGAGTGCACGGCGGCTCTGCTGACGGTCGCGGGCGCCTCCTTCGACACGCAGGACTGGGCGCACCACGGGCGCCTCGACGCGATATTCGCCCAGCTGCGGTCGATCGCCAGGCATCGGGAGGGGAGGGGCACCCCCGTGGGCTGGATGCACAGGGCGCGGCAGCGCCCTGGGCGAGCGCTGCACGCGCACGTGCCCCCTGGGCCTCCCCAGCGCTCGGCCCTCCTGTGCCGGGATGCGCCAGCCCTCTCTTTGCGTGCATCCAGCGCGTGGCTTCCGCACGCCCCGCGCGTGACTCTCGAAGACGGACAGCAACTGCACAGACATGAACTTTCGGCGGCCCGCGCGGGGTTTGTTGGATCTGCGCTGGGCCCCCTCCCGTCGAAAGTTGCTGTCTGTTCCGTTTCTGTCCACCTCCCGTGCCACTCGCGTCAATTTGCGGCGACCGAGGGGATGAGAGGAGAAGGAGAAGGCCTCCTCAGAAGGCGGCGGGACTTCTCCGAAGCCCTCGCGCTTTCTGAGAAGCCTTCTCTGTCTTCGGGGAAGGCCCAGGGAACTCCTCAGAAGGCCGGGGGACTTTCGAGCCTTCTGGGAAGGCCCGCCCCCTCTCACTTCCCCCCCTGGGCTCGCCGCCCACGCAAAGGTGGAGCAGGGGCCGAGGAGGGGTCCGAGGAAGATCGCGCTGATCATCCAGCGGGGTGTGCTCCCCAGCTCCACCTCGCGATAGCCACCCCCCTCTACGAGCCTCCGGGGCCCGCGGCGGCGGGGGGGGCCTGGGCCTGGGGTCTCGGGGCCATCTGATATGCGGGGCAGTGTGCCGACCAGGATCCCTGCGCAGAGTCCCGCCTGCAGAGAGCGAGGCGCAGAGCAGGTGCGCTCCGGCCTCACGGCTGCAGCCCTCGCGTGCTCCCAGGCGTGCTCCCAGGCGTGCTCACCGCCAGGCCTCCGCCCGGGCCCGCCTCGGGCCGGGCCGCGGCGCGCACGCACGCGGCCTCCCAGCGCTGGCCCCTCCGAGGGCCTGCGCGGAGGCCCGGTGTGGACGCCTGGCGGTGCACGCCCCCCATCGACTGGGCGTAAGAGGAGTGACCTTTCGTCGGAGTGACCTTTGGTGCGGGCCGAATGGGGTCCCCCGATCGCCGAACGCGATGCGGTTGTAGCGTCTTGCGCGCTTAAGTTTGTTCCCCCCGCGGCCCCCCAAGAGCCGCGCGCCAAAGGTCCCTCTTGGCCAGGGTCACTCTTGCCTGTAGCCGACACCAGGCATCCGACGTAGTACAGTGCCCGTTTTTGTTCTCTCGGCATCGGGCCGGCGGCGGGCGAGGGGGCTCGAGGTCCGAGGTCTCCGAGGCTCAAGGTCTGCGGACGTTTCGAGGTCCGAGGCTTCGAGGTTTGAGGTTCGAGGTCCGAGGTTCGAGGTCCGAGATGTTCAAGGCTCTAGGTTTTCGGACGTGTTTGCGCAGGTTCTCCACGGTGCGGCAGCCTCGGGCTGCGCTCCAGCGGCTGCGCCTCGGTGAGAGCGCTCCCCGGGGGGGTGGGGTGCCAGGATCGTCCCGAACGGCCGCTCGAGACCCGAGCTGTGGCCCAAAAGCTGAATTCGGCAGCGCGCCCGGGGGGAAGTGAGAAGGAAAAAGGCCTTCTCAGGAGGCCTCCGGCCCTCTTGGAGGCTTGCTGCGTCCTCGGGGAAGGCTCAGGAAACTTCTCAGAAGGCCAGGGGTCTTCTGAGTGAGCCTTCCGAGGAGGCCCGCTCCTGCGGGCTTCCCCCCCGCTCGCCGTCGTCCGGGCCTCGAGGCCCCGTCCCAGGGGATGCCTGCTTAGACAAGGCATTTTTTTGTGGGCAGCTCCCGGGCCCGGAAGCGCCCCAAGGAGCCCGAGGCAGGGAACCACGTTGTAATCGAAAGAACCACGACGCTGGATATCTGGCCCCCTGAAGGTCTCTGGGAGGCCTGGAGGGACAAAACGCTGTCAAGCATCTGACTCCTCGGTGTCGCGGTCAGCACTGCGTCCTCAAAGGCGCTCCGAAAGACGCCCACCAGTGATTCGGGGCTGGTGCGATGTATTTCCTCATGGACGGACGTTCCCGTTCACATTTTCCTTGGCTTTCCTGCCTCATTCTTCCTCCTCCTCCTCCTCCTCCTCCCTCTCCTTGGTCAGCTGTTGCATCGTGGAGTCTCCTTCACATCAGTTGGAAAGCTGACGCCATTCAGATCTTCGATCCCCAAGATGAGGTCAAGACTTATCCATGGACTCCTCCTGGGGTCCATCGAGGCAAATCTTCTGTGCTGCGTCAAGCCGTGGTGATGACAACCTCGAGAAACTCGCCGGGAGCCTCCGAAGCAAACACGCCGTCATCGTCGACGCTCTCGATCCGAGGCTTGAATCCACCGCCAGTGGAATCAATTTCGCATGGCGCCACCATGAGGCATTTTTGTTAGTTTGTGCTTATTTCGTTTTAATGTTTGTTGTATTGTTTTTGTTTTATTTTTTGGCCTGTTTTTTGTTATTTGGCGTGTGTTTGTTTGGTATTATTGTTGTTGTGGCGTTTGCGTGTGCATGTACACGCGCGAATCGGTAGATGTATACCTGTATATGTACGCACGTGCTTGTATTCACATCTACGTGTACACATATACACACTGTGTGTATGTATGTATGTATGCACGTATGCATGGATGCATCAATGTATGTATTCATGTATTCATGTCTGGCTGTTTGTCTGTCTGTCTGTCTGTCTGTCTGTCTGTCTGTCTGTCTGTCTGTCTGTCTGTCTGTCTGTCTGTCTGTCTGTCTGTGTGTCTGTGTGCTTGTGTGTATGCCTGTCTGTCTGTCTGTCTGTCTGTCTGTCTGTCTGTCTGTCTGTCTGTCTGTCTGTCTGTCTGTCTGTCTGTCTGTCTCTCTGTCTGTCTGTCTGTCTGTCTGTCAGTCTGTCTGTCTCTCTGTCTGTATGTCTACGCATCTATACATATATATATAAAAATGTATATATATATGTTATATATATACCTACTTGCGTATACGTTATAATGTATGTATGGGTATACATTTGTGTATACATGCATCTGTTTAACAGGTGGCGCGAGCGTGCCCAAGCTCATACAACGACATGTGCAGGAGGTGTGGTGGTGTGTGTGTGTGCGTGTAAGATTTTAAATATGTTGTGTGTGTCTGTTTAGTGTGTAGGTGCGCGTGTGTGTGTGTGTGTGTGTTTGTGTGCGCGTGTTATGTGGATACCCTATGCAAGCGGCCCTGTGGCGGGACTTTCCCAAGAAGCAGAAGATGACACAGGCCGACCCCACGCACTGTTCCAGTGTCACTCACCCACTTCCTCGAGCGCGCGTTCGGCTACAAAACCAAGAAGGGTGGTGTTCATCCTGCCAAGAAGGTTCCACCATCCCGTTGCCCCACCGGGTACGACCCTGCCACCGCCTGCTTCAGTCAGGACCTTCTTGCGCGGCTCCAGCGTGTCCGGAACGCGGCGGGGCAGCCCGACATCTGGCGCGAATTTCTCGCCGCAGCTTTTCCGCCAGGCTCCCTCGGCCCGCACCGCCACCCCAGGCCCAACCTCTCTGAGTATGTGGGCGCTGTCGTGGACGGGTTGGGACAGCGCACCGCTTGGACGACTGGCGGTCTAACCGCGCTGCCTCAGCGGCGCGAGCTTGCCACAAAGCACTCGTCAGACAGCAGCCCAGGGAAGGCGGCCAGAACGCCAGCATGGGGGGCGTCCCCTGCCCTGGCTGGGTCAGAGGCCAGGGGCAGCCCCTCCGCCCCTGCGCGGCCTGCGTTTTGGGCTGGCCAGTCTCCCGCACCCAGGGCCCGACCGGCCGTCCCCGTGTCTCGCCGCTCTCCAGTTCCCACTGGTGCAGCTCCCTGTCGAGGCGGGACGCCCGTCCCGTCCAGGGCGGCATCTGCCGGCACCTCCCCGGAGGATATTTGTGCCGTCCGCCAGCGTGTTTGGCCCCGGCCCGCCTCCAAGCCTGCCCCCCTGCCACCGCCGCCTCCTGCGCCCTCCGCCCCTCTCCCTCCTCGGGCTCTGAGGCCATCGCGGTCTCGGGAGCGGCCGCAGCCCAGAGCCAGTGGTGGCGCGGCTCCTGCCCGGGCTGTCGCCCCTGCCACATCCGGGGGATTACTTCTTCTCGAGGTTCTTTTCACCCTCCCTCCAGTCAGATTCCACCCCCTGCAGCATACAGAAACCACGCCCCAGGGATTGACATCTTGTGTGCCAGACCCACGACCAGGACCCTCGCTCGCCCCCCGGGTCTTTTGGGTGCAGTCTACAGCTTTTTCGGACGGACCTTCTCCCCAGTGCATCGCGACTCGCTGGCCGCTGGCTCTTGCTGGAGGCCTTCGCTGCCCGCGGTGGCCGCCACCCGCGACCCGTCTGCTCGGGCTCGGGCTCTCGGCCTCTAGAGGCGGATGCCCCCTCTGTCTGACGCGGCCCCTGTTGTCTCACCTCCACCGCCATCGCCGGTGCCCCAGGCCCGTGGATCTCCGGGCGCGGGTAGTTCGGCTACGTGCAAGAGTGACCTCTCGCGGAAGGGACGTGCTGTTGCGGGTTCACGGGGGTGGCCCCAGCACTGGCCCCGGGCGCTCGGGCCTGGGCCCTTCGCGGCCCCCTCGAGCCGCGCACCGAAGGTCGCTCTTGCCTGGGGGCACTCTTGCGTGCAGTCGAATAGTTCCGTCGGCACCAGACCTCGCCCGGTCCCCAAGGTTCAGGAGGGGAAAAACACACAGACACAATTAATCGACGATCCCCAGGAAAATATGGGTAAATATGGGAAGTGGGTGGGAAGACGAAAACACAAAAAATATAGGAAAATATGGGGAATCTTTTTATTCGTGTGTATTTATTTGTGTGTCCTGGGGCCCCTCTAAAGGTGCGGCCGCGGGCCGATGAGCCCACCGATTCGGCCGAGGGGGCTCCACCCCCTGACCCGCGGGCGCTCGCGGGGCCCTCCGTCGCTCCAGCCGTGCCTGCCTCGGCTGCGACCCGACCGCGCACTGGCCTCGCTCGCCGAGTGTGCCCCCCTTCCGCTGCGCAGGCGACGCTGCTCTGGCGTGACTGGTCCCTTTACACCGCCCTGACACGGGCGAGGACCGGGAGCCCGCTTGACCCCGGTTCACGCAGGCGGTTGGGCGGGTGGCACCCGCCGAGGAGCCCATCCGAGCTCGACCCAGAGCGCTACACTGCCGACCAGCCCAGCAGCTTTCCCATCACCGTCCCCGCCCGGTCAACGCACCCGGTTGGGCGGGTGGCACCCGCCGAGGAGCCCAGCTTTCAGAAGCGTGGTCCTTCTAGAGGCCTGACACGGCCCCACCGCCCCTGCCCTCGTCCCAAGCGCCGACCAGTGCCAGCTCTGTCCCCCTTTGTGGCCTCTCGCCTCAGCTAGCCGTTGATGGCCATGCGGCTCTCTACACCTTTCCGTCCACAGTGGCTGTATCTCGGGCGCCTCGGACGCTCTGCTCGCGCGCTGTTCATTGTCATCGCTTTCGGCCTTTCGGCCGCCACCTCGGCCGCGGCCTGCGGTAGCGTCTGTGCCCCCCCGCCGCTTCTGCACGTCGCGTACGCCTGAGCGGCCTTGGTCCCGTCTTGCTGTCTGTCGGCGTCTTGTGGCTACGTCTCTAGGCCTCCCAGATGAGGTCCGAGTAGATGGGGTCGGAGGATTGCGCCGCATCGCCGATGCATCGCCGATGCTTCGCCGCTGCGGCTTGATGTGGAGCTCGATTTTCACTGCGCCGACGGCGCCGATGCATCGCCGACGTCGCCAGTGCATCGCCGATGCACCGGCGATGCGGCGCGATCCTCCGACCCCATCTGCTCGGACCCCATCTAAGAGGCCTCTAGCGTCGCTGTACTGCTTGTCCCCGCCACTGGACGCTGTCATATGTACCTTTCTCACCCGCCACCCACTCCGGGGTGGCCGATGGCGCGGTCGATCCAATGGGATCCCGCTTCCGAGGGCCCCGCCTCGCGCGCCTGTCCCGCGCTGCTCCCTCGACTTTCTGCGCCTCGTCGCTGCGCACCAGGCCACGATCGCCACGTGGTGTGTGTGTGTGTGTGTGTGTGTTTGTGCGCGTGAGTGTGTGTGTGTGTGTGTGTATGCGTGCGTGTGTCATCTGTGATGTGTGCTGTGTGCGTGTGTGTGTGTGTGTGTGTGTGTGTGTGTGTGTGTGTGTGTGTGTATGTGTGTGTTGTGGGTCGTGTGCGCTATGTGTGATTTATGTGTGTTCTGCGCGATACGTGTGGTGAGTGTGTGGTGCGTATGTGTGTGTGTGTGTGTGTGTGTATGTGTGTGTGTGTGTGTGTGTGTGTTTGTGGCTTTGCTTGTGCAGTTTAATTGTACGATACCAATATATTTCGGTCGGAGTATCTGTTGTAGCCTGTTTTCGGCCCGCCTGGACGTCTCACTGACACTGGCTTGTCTTGGTGGCGTGGCTACTCACCACGGGTTTTACGGCATGGTGAATTAGGTTGGTTTCGGCTCCGCTTGCGCGATGTCTCTACGCGTGCTGCGCCTCCGTCACTACCTGTCTATGCTGTCACAGCGTCCGCTTTCTGCGACGCTTATCTTATTTCCAGGTCGCGCTGTATGGTGCCGCCGTGTCTTGCAGGTCTAGCACTCCATTCTTTCTTGCTATTGTGTCTTGCGTCACCTGTTTGTAGGTGTGCTCCCTGTTCATCGGTTTCGGCGGCCATAGTTGTCTCAGAGTTACCCCACCCATCCGCTGGTCTGGCAGCTTTGCATTTAATTGTCTTCACAGTCTAAAGTCGATAGGATGATCCAGCGGCACCAACTAGCATCAGACTGCTGGCGCTTCAACTTTTTCGAGTCGAGCTTCCTGTTCCTCGCTCTGTTGGCCGCTGCACGTTGGTTTTACAGTACCTTATTTTGTCATCTTCCTTTCTGCCTGGCAGTGGTGGATGTTTCCATCACTGCGCGTTTCGGCTAAGGTCATTCGCAATTAACATTTACATCTGCTGACCGTGCTGGGGGTCCTCTGCGCCGCTGACTTAAAAGTGTGTGTGTGTGCGTTTTGTGTGTGTGTGTGTGTCTTGCGGGGGTGCTTCTGTGTGTGTAGTGTGTTTGTCTCTTGCGTGTCTGTGTGTGTGTGTGTGTGTGTGTGTCTGTGTGTGTGTGTGTGTGTGTGTGTGTTGTGCGTGCGTTTGTGTGTGTGTGTGTGTGTGTGTGTGCGTGTGTGTGTGTCTTCTCGGTGTGAGTTCGTTCGTTTTTTCTTTATTGGAAAGGTTGCGTGTTTCAGCGCGCGCGCGCGCGCGTGTGTGTGTGTGTGTGTGTGTGTGTGTGTGTGTGTGTGTGTGTGTGTGTGTGTGTGTGTGTGTGTGTGTGTGTGTGTGTGTGTGTGTGTGTGTGTGTGTGTGTGTGTGTGTGTGTGTGTGTGTGTGTGTGTGTGTGTGTGTGTGTGTGGGTGGGTGGGTGCGGGTGAGTTCTGTGCCGCTGCACGTTTCGCATGGACCTGCAGCTCCTTTTTCACACTGCCCATTGCTGCATGCGTCAGAGTACAACATTTTGGACATTGTGCCTTCGACAACGTTCGACCGCAATTAACACTTCCATATGCTGCTCGGGCTTGAGGATCCTCTGCGCCGCTAACTTAGAATATGTGTGTTTTGTGTTTGTTTGTTGTGTGTGTGTGCTTGTGTTCTGTGTTTGTGTGTGTGTGGTGTGTGTGTATGTGTGTGTGTGTGTGCGTCTGTGTGTGTGTGTGCTGTGTGCGTGCGTGTGTGTGAATGTGTGTGTGTGTGTGTGCGTGCTGTTCTTATTGTGTGTGTGTGTGTGCGCGTGTGTGTGTGTGTGTGTGTGTGTGTGTGTGTGTGCGTTTGCGAGTGTTTGTGGGTGTTGTATGTCGGGGCTCGACTTTGGGCGGATGTCTAAGGCTATATGGCCTTTTTGTGCGAATCTCCAAAAGGGGCACGATTTTTGGAGGATGGCGTGGTTAAGTTACGAGGGATCGTGGCCTCGGGGGCGCGCGAGCGTGGTGTGCTTTACAAGGGGGTCGCGGCCTCGGGGGCGCGATTGTGGTGCAATTTTCCGGGAATTCTGGCCCCAGAATCCGAATGTAGTGTAATTTACAGGAGATCGTAGCCTCGGGGGCGCGAATATGGTGTATTTTACAGAAGGATCGTGGCTTCGGGGGCGCGAATGTGGTGCAATTTAATTGGGACCGTGGCTTCGGGGGCGCGAGTACAGCGTAATTTATTTACGAGGGATTATTGTGTCGGAGCGCGAACCTGATTTATCTTTACGTGTCCCACGGCCCTGCAGGAATTCAGAGCACGCGATTCGGGGGTGGTAGCTGGGTCCTTTTCGGCTCCGCTCCCCTCGCGCGGACGGCAACACTTTTGAGCAGGAAGCAGAAAGCAGGACTGTAACATTGGAGACTGGAAACTGCAACTGGTGCAGGGTGCTGCAACCCTCGTCCTCGCAGCTTGGTGGCTTCACAAGGGTGCCAGCGGATATTTGTGTACATATATATATATATATATATATATATATATATTTATATACATGTATATATGCTAGTGTGGACCCGTGGATGAAATCCACGAAGTTGAGCGGATCGAAGTTTTGTGGCGCGCGCTGTGTGGTACGACGCTTTCACCTACTGCAGCAGATCCTTTGAAGCTTGTTCTTGAGATGTTCTCCCACCGAAGGCGCTGAATCCAGCGAGGCGGGCCGTCGGGGAGCCGCTAGGAAGCTTTTTGGGGCCCCTTTAGGGGCCTCTCGGGGCACTCTTGGTCCGTGTAGGGGCTCTCTTGGGCCCTCTCGGGACCGCCTTTGGCGTTTCTTGGGCCGTCTTGGGTTCTCTTGGGGCCATGGTGGGCTGTCTTTGGCCCCTCTTGGGGTCATTTTGGGCCGTCTTGGGCCCCTCTTGGGCCGTCCTGGGGCAGTCAGGAACCATCTTGGAGCCCTGTTGGGGACGTCTTGGACCGTCTTGGGACGGTGTCGGAAGCCTCTGGGGCCGTCGTGGGCGCGTCGAACACGGAAAAAGAGAATGTGCAGAAAGTAGCCATTTTACGAGGGGAATGCTTAAATTTTTGTGTGATAGGGCCCAATTTGGGAGGCATCTTGGGCCGTGTGAAGGCCGTCTTGGGCAGGCTCGGGACCTCGGGTGGCCGCGGGCAGGCTCGTCTGAAGTGTTCTGGGGCCGTTTGGAGGCTCTCTGGGGGCCCGGGACCACTAAGAAGTGTTTTGGAGCCGTTTGGGGGCTACTAAGGTGTCTGTCGAATTTAGTTGAATGGATACATGATCATATCTATACATCTGCCGCCCCCTGGGGTCCTGGCCAGGCGACGGATCCCCGATCCCCGACGACCCCCCCGCCAGGCAGCCCTCCTGCGCGCCGCGCACCCGGTGCCTGCTGCAGGACGTGTTCGACCTGCGCGCGAGCGGCTGGCAGGCCCGCGCGCAGCACGGGCGCGCGGCGGCCCCGTCGACGCTGCAGGAGGCCTCTCTCCGGGGGGGGCCAGACTGCAGGGGGGCTCCCCAGGTACGCCCCCCAGACGTCCAACCTACGGGCAAAAATCAGGACGGAGGCCCTGCATCGTTTTCGGCCCCCTGGGGGCCTTCGCAGGGCACCTTGACCGTCAGAATACGACCCGCGATGCACAACGGGCCCTGGGGGAAGGGTCGGGCCTTCCAGGGACTCCGTGTCGAACACATCAAGACATCGGATGCCTGCGCAGATATGGATTTTGGGGCGCGCAGGTGAGCGACGGGTCTCGCTTCCGTGCAAGCTCGACGCTGCCTGTCGCCAGAGCAGGCGGCGCTGGCCTTAATGCTTCGGGGGGTCTGCCTCCCCCAATCTGTGAATCTGGTGCCCACGCTCCAGATCCCCAGCCTCCCTACGTCGTGATTCCTTCACAGCGTGAACTCCTGGAGGCCTCGACTCCTTCCCCAGCACAGTCTTTTCATCCCGGGCTTTTTTTCCACGGTGCGGCAGAAAACCTCCCGTCGTGATTTCTTCACGACTCGAGAGGGTCTGTATCCCCGGATCCGTAGTCCATGTTAGCATGCGGCCGACCTTGAGGAACACCCAAAGTCCCCCTGCAAGTTCCTTCCCCCCAAATCTCCTTCAAGTCCCCCCCAAGTTCTGCCCCCAAGTTCCCCCTCCCAAGTTCCGCCCCTCCCCCCCCCAAAAGTTCCCCCCTCCCAAGTTCCTCCCCAAGTGCCCATCGCAAATTTCCCCCCCCACCAGGCGCAGATCGCCCTCTCCCCCTCGGTCTGGCTTGGGGTTCCCCTACCCTTCCAGGTTGGCATCTTGCAGGCGGTGGACCTCGGCCTCTTGCCCTGAAGCCCTCCTGGCGGCGCGCCGAGGGGGAGGTGCGGAGTCCAGGGGATTGCGAGGTCGCCTGGGTCGGCGGCGGGCGAGGGGGGGAAGTCAGGAGGAGAAGGCCTTCTCGGAAGACGGCGGAGCTTCTCAGAAGCCCTCGCGCCTTCTGAGAAGACTCGCGCCTTCTGAGAAGTTTTCGGCGTCTTCGGGGAAGGCTTCGAAAACTTCTCAGAAGGCCGGGGGACTTCCGAGCCGCACTGCCCCCCTCTCTGGGCTCGCCGCCGACAGGGGGCGGGCGCGCGCGCGAGGCTTGCACCGTGAGTGTGCCGTCCTAGTTTCGGAGGTTGTTTTAGGGCTGCCTCGAGGTTCGAGGATCTCTGTTTTTCGTCAGTTTCGGGGCCTCGGGAGGCCTCCAGTGACTTCCCCGGAGGCCTTTGGAGGGATTTTGATGTTTTTGATTTGTTCGGGCCTGCTTGGGGACACTCGTGGCAGCGGATGGGCGCAGCTCCGAAAGCTGGTCGGGGGGGTCCGCTCCAACACATTGTGGAGCATGGCGTCTGCTTTCTGTCTGAACTCGGAATTTGCAGAGAACTCAAGGGTCAGGCGCGCGGGAAAACTTGCAAACGAAAGCAGCTTGTGGAACGCCACAAGGTTCCAGTTCGTGACGCGCGTCCACGCCGCAAAAGCGACCACCAGGACGCCATCGGTACACGATCGGGACACCATCGGGGCACCATCGGAACACCATCGGGACAACGCTAGACACCACGGGACAGCACGGGACACCACACCACGATGGCACACCCCTGGCAACTGCCAGTCAACTGGGGAGCGCTTTGGTCCGGCGGCGCCCTAGTCAGAGAAGGGTTCATCCCTCTCGCCCGCCCACGCAGCATTTTCTCGGCCGCACGCACGACACGAACACGAAACGGAAACCGTTTTCCCGTTGGGGGGCTATCCGTTCCACTTTGAGATCACCCCCACCATCTGATGAATATATATATATATATATATATATATATATATATATATATATATATATCCGTAAGGGCTTCGCCCCCTGCCGCCGGCCCCCTCTCTCGGAGAATGGGCCATGGAAGAGCTAAGTCATGAGGCCTTGGCGCTGTCGTGAAGCAGTATCGAAACTTCATGCGAAGCCGATTCGCAATCAGCAAAACCAACTGATCACAAGAGGGGTTCCACACCTGGCGATTGGTAAGACGTGTATGGTTTACGGGCTTGGTTACCACACCTTGCGATTAAAGGGCCGAGGGAGTTCTCGCAGTTTGGGTTACCACGCCTTGCGATGGATGTGCGTGAAGGGTGGCACCGAATTTCAGAAATGTGGCAAATCCCCTGTGTTTTTGGACCCTGACCCCGCGGATCTGCGTGAGGGGTGGCACCGAATTTCAGAAATGTGGCAAATCCCATGTGTTTTTGGACCCTGACCCCGCGGATCTGCGTGAGGGGTGGCACCGAATTTCAGAAATGTGGCAAATCCCATGTGTTTTTGGACCCTGACCCCGCGGATCTGCGTGAGGGGTGGCACCGAATTTCAGAAATGTGGCAAATCCCATGTGTTTTTGGACCCTGACCCCGCGGATCTGCGTGAGGGGTGGCACCGAATTTCAGAAATGTGGCAAATCCCATGTGTTTTTGGACCCTGACCCCGCGGATCTGCGTGAGGGGTGGCACCGAATTTCAGAAATGTGGCAAATCCCATGTGTTTTTGGACCCTGACCCCGCGGATCTGCGTGAGGGGTGGCACCGAATTTCAGAAATGTGGCAAATCCCATGTGTTTTTGGACCCTGACCCCGCGGATCTGCGTGAGGGGTGTCGATTTCGAGCCCCCCCAGCAATTCAGACAACGCGCCCAGGAGACGCTAAAAATCTGGTTTGGGCCTCCCCCCCCCTCGCGCGGTCAATCAACTAGTTACACTAACCAGCAAGAAGCAGAACTGTAACACTGGAAACTACAAGCTACAACTGGTACAGGAAACTGCGAATCCCGCTCCTCGCAGCCTGGTGGCCCCACAAGGGGGCCGGCGGATATACACATATGTATATATCTGTATGTATACACACCTTCTATATCAATACAATCATATTCATATTTGTACGTATCTATGCATGAGTCCATTTTTGAATGTGGATCTGTATATCGGTGTCCACGCATCTATCGTTAATGTGCTCACAGGCGTGTCTATATGTAGCATGCATACAAACGAATACACACTTACACATGTTTATATACACATTCATATACACATGCGTACAGACACATATACATGTGAATGCATGCATGCATGCATGCATGTACATCTGTATTTTCTACACATTATATACAGAGTACCAGCAACATATTATATAGGTATCTACATGCGCCCCAAGGATTTGCAGGATGCTCATCGAATAAGACGCCAGCCTGCCAGCAGGTGCCCAACGACAATTTCTTATCCCCTTGTTGGCTCAAGGGGCCCACAGAAGCTCTCGGGCACCTTTGGACCCTGAGGGCTCGACAAAGAGTGTGCCCCCAGATGCCTCACGGGGAGTTCTCTTATCGCACGTGTGCCCGCTGCGTGAGCTCTGGCCTCGCATCCCTTGACCTGGGCGGCACTCCTCCGCGCGCCGCCGACGTCTGCTCGACAGCCACCAGCTGGGGCCAGTCTCGTGGCCTCGAGGTCGGCAGCTTCGCCGCCGTCTTCGGCGGCGGCAGCGGCCTGGGCCCGAACGCGCCTGGCAGGAGAGGCCCAGCCCCAGCCTCAAAGCCGGCGCCGCCGCGACGCACGCGAGCCAGGCGCGCCGACTGGGGCCGGCGCCCCGCGAGGAGCGCCCCTCTGATGGCTTGCGCGCGCTGCGCGCGGCCGCCGCGGGTGGGCGGAGACAGGCGGGAGGCCGGACTCTCGGAGGGCGGCGGCTGGCCCGTGGCCGGGCCCGGGCCCAGGAACGGCCCGGGGGTGGCTAGAAGTGCCCCTGGCCCAAGGTGCCCCGCAGGACTACCAAGGAAGCCCCGACGGCTTCAGAGCACTTCACGAGGCCCAGGGGGGCCCAGTGGCTTCAAGATCGAGCGAGAAGCTGGGGGCACCTTGGGCCAGGGGGCACTTTGTGGCACCTTCCGAGCGGTGCACCCAGATACCCTGCGATCTGATTTTTTCAGTCCAGGCGCTTTTCCTTCGTTTCGGCCTCCGGGGGCCCTCGTCGGGCCCAGGGCCATCAAGAATGGCTCCGATGCGGAAAGCTATCCCCAGGGAAGAAGTCAAGACCTCTGGGGCTGCGGGGTGGAGAAATTACTCGGGCGGATGTCTGGGTGCATGCTTTCTTGGCTAAGTTAGGAGGGTGTGTGCACTGATCCTGGGCCTGGGATCGGCCCGGCCAGAGTTGGTGAGGTGGTCGGTCGACGTCTCCCAGATCTGCCCTTTTTAGCCTTGCCTGCAGGGCTCTTGATCCAGGGCTCAGCAGGCATTGCTGGGTGCGGGCGTGGGTCTTCTAGTGGCGCTGCCTGTGTGGCATAGCTGCCTTACCCGTGCTGCCTTCTTCCAACGCCCTCGGATATTCATCTGCGCCCCCCGCCTCCTCTCCTCATGTTGTCACACCAGAGGGCGGTGACTAGACGACTGCACGAATCCTGATGTCCTCAGAGGTCCCCGCTTGTCACCCAAGAAGACCTCGGGATGCCTCTGGAGCCCCAAAAAGGGCCCAAACATACCGAACATTTTGTCCCTGTATCCTCCTCGATCCACATGCCGCCGGTCCACCCCCCCTCTTGGACACCCCCTCTTGGCCGCTCCCGAGGAGGAGGAGGAGGAGGAGGAGGAGGAGGAGGAGGAGGAGGAGGAGGAGGAGGAGGAGGAGGTGGAGGGGAGGGGAGGAGGAGGAGGAGAAGGGGGAGGAGGAGGAGACGAATGCGGAGGAGGGAGGAGGAGGAGGAGGAGGAGGAGGAGGAGGAGGAGGAGGAGGAGGGGAGGAGGAGGAGGAGGAGGAGGAGGAGGAGGAGGAGGGAGAGTGAAAGGGGAGGAGGAGGAGAAGGGGGATGAGGACGAAACGAAGGAGGAAGCGAATGAGGAGGAGAAGGAGGAGGAGGAGAAGGAGGAGGAGGGTGAAGGGGAAGGAGGAGGAGGAGAAGGAGGATGAGGAGGAAACGAAGGAGGAAGCGAATGAGGAGGAGGAGGAGGAGGAGGAGGAGGAGGAGGAGGAGGAGGAGGAGGAGGAGGAGGAGGAGGCAGGGTGGGGAAGGTCACCCACAGTCTCGACGCAATCTGCCCATCCCTCTTCCGCGTCCTCCCCCCGCTGTTGCAAGAGCCGCCTCCCCAGCGCGGGGTCTCCGTGCCGCGTTGACGCGCGAGGACCTGGAGCCCGCTCTGCACTCCTCCTCCTCCTGCTCCTCCTGCTCCTCCGGCTCCTCCTCCTCCTCCTGCTCTTCTGCCGCTTCTGCTGCAGCTCCTCCTTCTCCTAGCCGACCTGTCCCAAGATTAGGCGCAGAGTGGCCCCCATGGAGGCGTGGGGATGGTGATGTATGCTTTCCCTCTCCCCGAATTGAATCCTCCTCCTGCTCCTGCTCCTCCTCCTGCATGGCGGCCCTGCTTGCGTACTTCACCCTGCAGCAGCGTCTAGTGGCTATGCATACTTGGTCGCACCCGCCTCCGCACTGGCGATGCCCCTGGCAGGATGCAGTGCACGGGATCTCCGCCTGGTCAGGAGTCCCAGGATCCGCACAGCACTACCGATGGGAATTGCATGTAGTAGCACCTTTTGGAGGAGAGCCGGTCGAGATCACGGCGGCCCCGCCCCGGCGGCCTCCGTGTACTCCTCGCTAGTACTCCTCGCCATGTGAGAGATATCGTTAGAGCACTTCTGATG